GTTGCATTGTGAATGATGAGGAGACCTGCACTAACAAGGCATGGCTTGATGAATGGAAGCCGGTGGAGCTAACCAGGGAGGGTGATGTGGCAACCACTCAACAGGCAACTGAAGCACCAATTTTAGACCATGATACTGCTTCCTACATAGCTGACTTGGCCAGCAAGGGAAGTACAGTTGCGATAGCCGCTGAAGATGATCCTGTCTACGACTTCTATCTCCTTCAGGTCACTTCTGATGGAGTTGAAGAACTTGACAGTAATGTAACAGATGACTATCAGTGTCATTATTACAGAGGAGACAGAGTTCTTAAGGGGCACTTTGACATAAGGGAGAACATTTATGACATGACCTTCATAATTGACGAAAAACGGAAAGCGTTTGTATATGCTGCTACTGTCCGTCACATTTGCGGTGACCTACCAGTCAGAAAGAGAGGACGAAAGTCTATTTACAAACTCCCTTTAAAAGAAAATGAGGAAATCATTGCTTCAATGTGAACTAATAATTACACAACCTCTTTTTTTCCATTTTTACATTGATTTTCTTAAGATTTTATGAAAAACCAAAAATGTGCCACGCCCACAAGGGATTGTGGGTAATACCAAAATTAGTGTTATTAATGCAAAATAATAAAAAATATTTACAGATATTGATTACAATGTACATTTTGATCAAAATTGAAGTCAAAAAGTGATAAAAAGTGAAAAAATAAAAAAATAGTTATTTTTGAACTATGTTACAGCAAATGGCTATGTGACTGTGCTACTCATCCCTAGTGAAGCCACTGTCATCTCCCAGATGGTCCTCGCGTCTTTCATTTCAGGTCAAGTTTAGTCAAAGCCATTCAAACCAGCTTGGTGACTGCTTGGAAACAATGTTCTGAGAAACCCAAAGAACTGCTTCTCTATCAGCTGAGAAGTGAGAGTGGGAACTAGTTTACAATAAGTTACATCTCAATGATGACAGCCCCTCAGCCGCTAAAGAATGTCAGAAGAAACTGATCTCATTACCAAACCACAAGGTATTTGCATTCAAGTAATTATAGGAATCAACGATAAAATTTCAGTTAAATGAAATATGTGAAAATGTACATGTACACAAAATGTGAAGGAAAATAAGCAACCAAAATACACACAACATATTCGTTCCTGTGGCTTCATTTTAGCACAGGAAAATGAGCAATTGAGAACTAAATTGCTTCCTTAATTACATGACATAGTTCTTGACTTTTGCCATAGAGTACTTAAGCATACTTACAGTAATTTATCAGTATTACAAGGAAATTCATTAACAGGATAAAACAAATGTAACAATTAAATTATAGTCTAGTTCCTTATTTTTTCTTTTTCTCAAGAACCATCTTGTGAAGACATAGACAATGGTGATGACATGGAAGTTGCTGAAGTTAATCTTAGAGAAGAATCACAACTTGAAAACTTACATGACCACTTACAGAGTGACAAAGAACAAGGAAAGGAACAAGAACCTCAAGAAAACAGGCAAAGAGCCTATAGAGCAAAACCAACTTCCACAGCTTTCAGAACATGAGATTTGTACTAGGTCAGATGAAAGTAACCTGCACCTCACTTCAACAAAGGCAAAAGCAGTAGAGGTTGTAGTGGGTAAAACACCTGAAGGGATACAGCTTGACAAATTGCCCAAAAACCTAAACTGCAACACCAAATTCATATGTTGTGACATAAAAGTATGTAATGCAACCTTCTCAATACAGAAAAACCGGCTTCCAAATGCTAATGACTATAAGTTATCAGATGAGGTAACAAGTACTCCTCATAAGAAAAAAGTTGCTCTGAAATTGCTACAATCCTGGAAGATTGCAGTACATTTCTAAAGTATTTTGATCAGTCATTCTTACCTCATTTTATTCCCTTAAATGATTTAGTCAGGCTATTTAAAAAAGAAAGATAATAAGCTGCTTGAAATTGATTGTTGTCCATCACTTTTACCACCAAAAGCTTAGGATTAAGAGCAAATTTGTTGCTGGTAATTAACATTTAATTACTAATTGCTCACCTTCATTGTAAGCAAGTCAAAGATTATGTTTGACTGCAAGATAGCTGCACTGTTGAGCTATCTTGACCCTATGGATTGAAAAAATACACTGTGAACATGAAATTAGAGAGGAAGTCTCGTGCAACAGTTTTTACTTAACTTACACTACTTGACTTAAAATACTAGCATAACTTAGATGGCTTTAATTCCACAAGCTGCACTACATATAGGAATGTAAGTAAAAATCATGGTTAAGGTAATGGTCAGATTCCTACATGTAGTTACCATGTTCATGTATGATTGTGTTATTCGTCACAGGCAGGTAATCTCCTGACCCTATACATACAAGTTATAATTGGCAAAAAGACAGACTTAAATAAGAAGAGAGTCAAATAAGAGAAATGTCTTCTTGGATTCAAACTAGCAAGCAAGCATTTAAACCAAGAAGTGCAACAGACCAAAATATTGATATTATCACTTTTAGTGAAATGCAGAAACAAGGCTACAACATAATTAAAGCACTTTCAGAACAACCTTTTCCAAAACATCCATTATTGCTTATAATAATAGGTGGTGGTGGTACAGGAAAAAGCTACCTTATAAATGCCATTAAAATACTACTGAAACAGACATGTGCTGCTACAGCCACAACTTGAAAAGCTGCATTTAGCTTATGTGGATGTAATATACATTCACCATTTAAACTTCCTGTAGATGCAAAAGGCAACAAAGACTTGACTGATCAAAGCCTTGTCTGACTTCAAATTATACTCGAAAAAATCAGTTATATTATAATTGATGAATACTCTATGTTAGGCCAAGAGATGTTTGTGTGGGTTGACAAACGGTGCCGCCAAGCTACTGGTTGAACTGATGAACTCTTTGGCGGCAAATTGATAATATTGGTTGGTGATCCTGCCCAATTACCACCTGTAGCAGATAAGCCTCTTTAACACTTAAGCCCTTCAAATGCATTACAAGAACAAGGCCATTTAGCTTATCTCATTTTAACACTGTTGTAAAACTAACATTAAACCATAGAGTAAAAGGATCAAATCCACAACAATCTAGATTCAGGGATTTAGTAAACCAATTACATACAGGGGATTGCACTCAAAATGACTGGCAATTTCTCTTAACTAGACACCATCAACAATAGACAACATCACTGCATTTAAAGATACTGTAAGACTTTACTATAGCAATGATGAAGTTGCAAAATACAACTTTGAAAAGCTTTCTGTACTGCAGCAACCAGTAGCAAGGATTAATGCTCAACACTCGACTGCAGTAACTAAAAAGGCCAGTGCTGATGAAATGTCAGGACTAGAACCTGTTGTTTTCCTTGCAAAAGGAGCACGTCATGCTCACTTTGAATCTGTGGATATATGTTGTTCTATGTAATGGTGCAACTGGCACTGTTGTAGAATTTATATATGCTATCAATCAACAACCCCCTGACTTGCCTATTGCTGTTATTGTCATGTTTGATGACTATACAGGCCCATCAATTAGTAACAACATAGAACAATGTGTACCCATATGTTCAATAGCAATAATGTCTGACACATTGGGTACTGTGAATGAAAGACAACAAACTCCTTTAAAACTTGCCTGGGCAATAACAATTCACAAAAGTCAGGGATTGACCCTGACACATGCATGGATAAACACTGGTAAAAATGAGAGAACTCCAGGGATTTTTTATTTTGCAATTAGTAGAGTGAAGACACTCTCATCCTGAATCATCGAACCAATGACTTTTGAGGGATTAACAAGCCTGAAAACGTCACCTGGTTTCCAGCATAGACTACAAGAAGAAAGTAGACTTGATAAATTTGCTGCCTTGTTGGTTGAAAATCAACCAGACAGCTATTCAACTTAATTCATGTATGAAAACATAAACTAACTGTAAAGCACTGTGTCATGACTTGCTTAGTAAACCATTTTTTATGAATGAATTATTCTATTTCCTGTTTTAAATAAATCAGTAAAAACTATACCAATTTAAACAAAGTAAAGTAAATTAGTAATTTAGTTCATCATTTGCAACACTATTGTTACAAATTGATTAAATTCTTTTATTTCCTTGTGAGTAATTAAATTTTATTTTAACCTTTTAGATAAAAAAAAACAACAAATGGAGCAAGGTGAGGAAATTCTAATAATAGTGGTAATAATATTTTCTTTCATTTCTTTTGTGTTCCCAAGTAAGTAGGGACTGTCTGTCTGCCCACTTGTCTCCCTATCTAAACAATAATAACTATTCACTAGCAAAAAACATTCACAAAAACAAACAATTTTTATTCAAATGATTTGGCACAAATTATTGGTTCTCATCCTCACCCAAAATATACCTTTTGTCCTTTTCACATATTCTACCACCCCAATTGTACCAGAAGAAATAATATGCCATATAAATGGTCTATCACAAGTAAAGAATGCCAGCAACTCTGGAAAAAGTACTTCAACTGCACACTGCAATGTAAAGAGGTATTCACTGTGCTGTTTGTTTCTCACAACAGAAACACCCTGAAGTTACAACATTTGGAAAAACAAAATGTGCGGTTCAAATTTTAAATTTTACACCCTCTGCAAGTGATGACATAATATTGAATCACCAAAGCAAGATAATTCCAAATGAAAAATCTGCAGGATTCAACTACTCTGAGGATCTGATACCCAGTGGGGTGGTAAGCAGCAATTTTGCACTGAATAATGTTGCCTCTGAGCAACTCATCAGCATCAAAGCACAGGTAGTGAACATTGCAGCAACAAAAGCAGTCAATACACAATATCAAGGAACATTAAAAAAGCAAGAAGTTTTAATAAGAATAATAATACATTTTTAAAAACCTTGAGGTTTAACCAAAAAATAAAAATGAAAGATACTTGAATACCGCCAAAGATGTGTGTCATTTCAGGCCAACGAAACTTCACTATTTACTCAGCCATTAATAGATGTAAATGCAGAGTTGGTAAGCATGGTAGCATCAACAATTAATGGGAAGATTATAGGATTCCTTCAAATAAACAACTCAATTGGCTGCATATCATGCAGGAAAAAAGTTGTTCCGAACAAAGACAGTGAAGACCTTGGACAATGCAAAGATTGTAAACTAACTCAAATCATTTTATCTTGTGGAACACAGTGGTATATGCGCATACTGGTACAATCCTCCACAAATCCAAGTGAACAGCACAGACTAACTCTTTACCACCAACAAATTCAAGAACTTATAACTCACATGAAGTTGGATTTGAACTTGAACAGTGTCAGTAAAACAGACATGACACTTGCAATATTGAAAGAAAGCAAAGCCATGAACATAACTTACAACTCGCATTCAAACAAAGTGCAAACAATTAGTTAATTAGAATGACTATACTTGACATGCTTCAGCCATGAGATGATATGATGGTTGCATTTTTCCATTATAGGACAAACATAAACAATTAATGGAAAGAGAATAGGATTCCTTCAAATAAACAACTCAATTGGCTGCATATCATGCAGGAAAAAAGTTTTTCCAAACAAAGACAACCAGCTCATTCCATCTTAGTTATGTAGCATAACTATACTTGACATTATTAATTTTTTTTAAGCCATGAAGTGTAATAATAGTAAGTTGTATTTTCCCAATACAATGTTAACCATAACTTTGTTATTGTTTCATTCAAAATTTTGCTTTAACCTACAATCAGTTATTACCCAAGTATATAAAACTTCTGTATAATTATGTAAATTACTATGCTAAAACCCAGACTATTTTGAGCCATTTTCACTTATCATATTTAAGTTGTAGTAACAATTACAGTTACAGTTTAAGATACCAATATACCGTTGCCGTTTTACAGTTATAGTTTAAGATACAAATATACCGTTGCTGTTTCGTGGCAAATTTCCCTTAACATTCAATTAATTACAACACTAATCTATTATGCTATTATTGTAATTTAACAAAATGTCACTTTACAATTTTAGGAATAAATTGTGTTACAAATGATTTCCCCTTTCCCTCTATATTTTCTTGCATGTTTCTTTTCACTATAAAAAAGTTGAAAGACCCTTTCACACCCAATCCCCAACACCGTCCTTGTCCAATCGAACGCACCCTATAATCTCTGATTACTACTAGTTTAGTAAACGTAAAAAAATGCGCTTTCCTTGAATGAAACGTTCTTTATTTGGATTTACGCGTGAGAGCATTGTGGCAGCTATATGGCAAATTAGGGCTAATTTGTCGAAATAAACACAAAACTAACACTCACCTTAGCTGTAGACCCCACATCTACACAAAAACAACATCTTCTGAAAACATTTGCGCTAGATATCCATCTTCGCCTCCTCAAAAGCGCTCACGCTCTCTGATTTAAACTTCGAATACGCCATGCGGTAACAGCCGCCATTTTTTAAAGTCTTGAAAGTCTGCTGGGGGTCTCGAACCAAGATAAAACCCAGGCCCTAAACTACTTGAGCTTGCAAGCTGCCAAAAGCCCACAATACGGTGCCCATTAGGGGCATTCTATCTCATTCTTTTTTGGTCAAATAGCGATTCCCCAATTTGAACTGGCGATGATTGATTCGATGCCACTCACTTTCTCCTATGTTTGAGAGAAATTTATAATTCAGTAAAACATAACCAAATGGCGGAAAATCGTAAAACCTAGTGCCGGCAGTCTAACTTTTGTAAAGAAAGAAAAGATTAAGTGCGTGCATCTCAACAGGATATTTTTCAACGCGAATTTGCGCTAGAAACTTTATTCAAAATTGGCCGGCGACGCGCCTATCTAAGTTTTTAAAGAAAGTATCGCCAGACTTCTTGATATACTGTCAGAATGATGAAGCGGTTTCTTCCCCTATAAAAGCCACTTTTACAGACAAAGAGGGTACGTGAAGACTGCTGTGGAGGCCTAACTCAGGATATGTTCTGGATCCACATTTTGGGAGCTTTCCTTTGATAGGCACTTTAATGGGGAAGAAATGAAGTTGCCTTTTACCCCCCATCAAATCTGCATGGGACTAGAAGTGTCTTTGAGGTAATTTGCAGAATCTTTCCACACGGTTTCATCACCACGAGTGCCATCACGGTACGCTTTTGCCAGTCGAGCTTTATGGGCGTATTCCTAGGCTCCAAGAGTGTTCCTGGACGCGTCCTTTGGCTGAAAACTGAAAAGGAGAGCATCACAGATAGGGGGATATCTTGTTTTAGCAAGATTTGAAATGAGGTTTGCCCCTGTTTGGGGGAAGGCTTAAAAAAATATACTGATTAAGCAAGCTTAGCCGATTCATTTTTGTTCTGAGACCCCTGTGTATCTTACAATGGATAGTAGATGGGGGTCTCTAAGAATCATGTGGATGAACTTTGGTCTCAGTTAAATTCATGAGCCGAGTGTTTCACAGAGTCTCGGTACTGTAAAGTGCACTGTGAGTTTTTTAAGCTAGCCAGAAAAGGAACGAGGGATAAATACCGAATGCTCGTTCATATTTTGATAAATTTAGTTTTATTAGTGTTCTATCATGGCACATAATATCAACAAGTGGCTCCACAGTTCTTGGTGGAAGTACGGTCAAAACAGTTCTTTTATGAACAAGTTTACTACACTGAAACACTGAAATGCAAGCTTTGGTCAAGTTAGGGGGAAACCAGACTTTTAATTAAACGTTATGAAGCAGCTAAGGATTTTTTTACGGTTTAGTCGTTGCCAAAGTAATCCACTTGACCTTAATTATCTAACTCACGGAAAAAAACAAGGGAAAGGAAGTATGCTCCAGAATATTATTCTTGAAATTTACATCCGACTCGTTAATTAAAATTGCGAAAAGATACATATATTTCGCATCTTTAGCAATTACTGTTTTATGTTTCGGCTTAAACGTCGTTTTTAGGTGTTGTTCTGAAATGTGCTACTCCTTCTAGAAGACCGTGGCACGCAAGATTGTTTCTCCATCTTTAGAGCAACATTGTAAGGGTTTACTTACATAATGCACATGTTGTTAGTATGCACATGTAGTGGTACATGATGCGCAGGTTAACTACACCTCTTTTTCAAGCCATGAGACTGAATGCTTACGAAAAGTAGGGAGAAAGTGCTTCTTTCTACCAGGGAGAGTACTATTTCGTTTTGTTTTGTGACAACTTCCATGATTGGCCATAAAGTTTCTTATTGTTATTTGTTACGGCTTGGTTATTTATTAGATGTTTTCAATATGATAGACAAGATATATATGTAATCTCAGTGCCTCTTCTGCGTCATCTGGCATCGTCAGATTCTCTTCATCCATGATGAGGTAAGCCAACTCCAAGAACCCTCTAGAGGCCGGCTGTTCATTGAGTTGATCACAGCATACCTCTTTAGCTAAATCGATTTCATCGCTTGGCACTGGAGTAGAGTAATCCATGGCTTCTTTTAGTTCAGGAAGAAAATATAGAACTTCGGGGCGACCTGCTGGGGAGTCGGAATTTCTACATGGCCTAATCCTATGAAGCTTCCATTGTTCTGTCACGTGTTTGAGCTCGTCTTGGATTAAGTGCATGAAATAGAATTTCAGGCATTCTACATGAATTGGATTACTGTCGCAATAAATGCCCGCGTCCCGAATATCCTTGGAGAATTTGATTTACCAATCAGACTTAGTTTTACGAAGAAAAGACGACCAAGCTTCAATCCTTTGATTGGAAACTGAACGTCCATACATAAAGCTCGTATCGCCCGAGAAGGAATCGATGCCATTCCTTATGAGAAAGCATTGAATTATAGCAACTTTGCAGTTCTCTGTACCTTCATCGGCGTGGACAATCTCGGAACACCACTCACTTGTTTTATACTGTCACAATAGTACTCCGCTATGAAGGTGGGATCATTGTTGGTGACACTGGCTTCAAGCCACAAAATGCGGCGACTGTATTCATCTATCGCACCATGAATACAAAAACCGAAGGGTTTTAGCTTATCACAACCATCTATATGCCAGATCTAATTTGGTCCTTTGGCATAGTACTTCCTACGTTTCAGACGCCTTCTGGATCTTCTTTCAACACCCTCTGGATCTGGGGTTTTAAGAATAAGGCGCACAATTTCCTTGTCAACAACAAGGCCATAATCATTTCTGAGTCTGTGGTACATTAATCTATAGCTAATGGAACTCCCACTTCCACAAAGTTCCCTTTTAACTGCACTTACAATCTCATGTGGGTCGCTGTAATTTCGTCTTCGAAATAGACCTTGATTTCTCAGTATTCTTTTTAACTGAAGAAGGCTCAAACGTATTCCATGGCTCAAAGTCAAAAATGACAAAATTCAACATGATTGAATCCAAGGTCAAAGTAGGTTGAAATGAGCGCATCTCTCTGACTAATATTATGTTGAACCATTGGAATATACGAGTGTAAAACTGCTTTGCAAGAAGACAAACAAAAAGATACTGCTTACATGGATATGATGGAAGCCATATTGGGCGTAAGGAGTCGGCAATTTCTTTGGACAGTGATACAATCGCCAGTTCAAAGAATCACCAGTTCAAAAGTGGCGATCGCCAATTCAAAGTGGCGATCGCGACTTCAAAGTGGCGATCGCTACTTCAAAGTGGCGATCGCTACTTCAAAGTGGCGATGGCTGGTTCAAAGTAGCGAATCTCCAGTTCAAAGTGGCGATCGCCAGTTTAAAGTGGCGAATCGTCAGTTCAAAGTGGCGATCGCGACTTCATAGTGGTCATCGCTATTTCGATTCAAAGAAGCGAATCGCGAGTTCAAAGTGGCGATCGCCCGTTCAAAGTAGCGAATCGCCAGTTCAAAGTGGCGAACCGCCAGTTTATAAAAAAGAATGAAATAGCATGGCCCTTAATGGGCACCGTAGATGCCGATCTCTCGACACATCAAAAGAGTAAGTAATGGTTATACCGTAGAGATGTTCTTTCATTCTTTCGACAAATGTTTGCGGGGACACAAAGAAGAAATCTTACTTCTGCTATTTGCAGAAGCTTCTGGTTATTTATGTATGAACAGAATTTAACATGACATCCTTAGCTGTTAGCGTTTTCTTCTCTTTAAATCTTTTAGCAATTCTGTGCATAAGAATATGTGTCTGGCCCCATCAAGCATCCGGAGAAGGAGCCTCTCACCACCAAGGCCAACTTCCACGTTATAGCAAAAGAAAGGTTTTTCTCTATACTCACATGTTACCGGTGGAAAATCCTGTTTTAAACTATGTATTATTTACAACAACAACTCAGCCAGGTACATTGTACGAAAAAAAAAGGTCGGAAAAAGCCTATTAGCTTGACTAACTGTGAACTTTTTCAGTTGCATGCATGGACCTTATCAGTACCTTATTTTTTCATGTCAGTATACCCTTCATCTCAAACAGACAAAGTAATTCCTACACTGTGGACATGATCACTCGTTCTTTCAAGTTATTATGTCAAAAATCCTTTCTTCTCGGATGAAGTTTTTCGACATTCCACTAAGGCAGGAAAGGTTCATCAAAATTTTTTTGGTTTGTTCTGGTTTTTTTATTTTCGTTGTGGTCTGCATATCGCTAAAATAAGGTTTTTAGAAGATCAACAAAGACGAGGAATGACTCATTACGTCACAGTAAGAAGGAAGAAATCACAAAAATAAAACATCAGATCTAAAAAGCATTACTAACTTGGGATGTAAAGTCAAAACCGTTAGAGTGTGGCTAAGGTGGTTATTTTGGTACCGCTTTTTGTGAAACAACTTAATTATAGGTATAGAGTGAAGAGGTGGAAATGTAAATACTTGTAAAATTTTGGAAAAAACTCATATTGCTTGGAATCTTAAATGGCTTCTGCGGTCAAATGTAGAACCTAGTATCATGGCTATATTATTTTTTTCTCTTGGGTAATTTTACTATTATTGTCCAGTGATGTGTTGCATTTATTCACATGAGAGAAATGAAAGACAAACAAATGTCAGGATATATATCAAAATACCATATGCTACTTTTCTACCGAGTCAATTCTGAATACGATACGACCTTTGCGTTTATATTTTGCACATCATACTTTATCCTAAACCAAGCTTGCGCAGATCTTAATTCTAATCACATTCATGTATTTTGTGAATACTGTTCGTGTTAATTTTTACCTAGCATTGTGGCTCAGAGGAACATTACCTTTGGAAAGGATGACGATTTCTCGACACATAACAAAGTAATTGCCATATTGTGGACATGTTCTGTCATTTCTTCGACAAAAGTTTTTGGTCACGAGAACGGGGACAGCGAAAAGGAATCTTACTTCTGTAATTTGCAGAGGCTCTTTGAATGTTTTGAATGGACAGCATTTAGTGTTATATCACTAACCCTTGGCGTTTTCTTCACTTTGACGCTTTCAGCAATTCTTCACAATAATATGCATCAAACTGTGGCCCCATCAGGAGAGGGAGCTAGTTAAAACCAACGGCAGCTCCAAGCTAGCTACGGCGAAAGCAGTGAAGGTTACCTGGATGATGATCGCAATCGCTATTTTGTTCCTCGTTTACGAGTTATCTTTCGATTTTATAAGGGCATTGCTATATCTTGGCTTTATGATTGAGCCTTTGGAGCCAACTTTAAAAATGGACTGAAAAATTTTTTTGCAAATCTTCGTATTTTTCCGTTTACATCCGAGAGTATAAATCTTCAGCAAAAGATGCTGAAATGATATTAATCATTTCTCGCTTTTACTTTGCCGAAGTGAAAGACAACGTGATTTTTTATTAATTCAGTTTTATTTACGATAACTTATTGGCGATAATTCATGACAATGTGACTTTACTTCTTGTAAACACTGCAGATATACCTTTGAACAACCGGTCCCTCTGCTCCACCATTATTTCCCTTTGCCCTTCGACAAAGCAGAAAAGCGCTTTTTTTAACCACAGGCTGCTCCATCTTGCTTTTAAGACCTAGCAGGGAGTAAGCAACAAATAAATGTTGTCTGGAATCGCTTAGAAGTTATTGAATAAAGCTTCAAAATATCACGCCACAATAACATTAGCCACGCAAACCATGGACTTTGATCGCATTCAATAAAAGTATCCCTTCCAGGAAATAATTTTGACTTGCTGTCAGGACTCTTTAATTTGCCATTCGGTCTTTGTCGTAAAACGTTTCATTTCCTCTAGCCTGATTATCAATTTGATTCCAATGTCATTTACAACCTTTAATGCTACGAGGAGTGGTATTTCTATTTCCTTTGCAATGTCCATAAAGGCCGGATATGTTTCAATAAGGTTTCAATTACACCAAACGACTTGAATGCAAAACAGCGTTTAAAAAACGACGACGACATAGCAACTAAACAGATATGCTTAGGATCTCAATTTTTAATGAATTCGAATGAAATTATCCGAATCACAAAAACAACAAACTACCCTACCTAGGTGAAAAGATAGAGTCGGTAAATAGAGATCATTATTGTGAGTGGCATGGTGGAGGAAAGAGGCCAAGCGTTTCATTGGTAAGGCAAGAAAACGACAGATCGCAAAAACTATTGTTGCCAATTATTTGAAAGAAAGAAAAATATACAAAGTGATTACAAAAAAAATTGCGAAGGCTAATTCATTTTCGTACAGCCTGCAGTTGAAAATGAATCATCCCAATGGCATAATTAAGTTCACTCAAAATTTATTATGTTTATTCTTCGACTACAAAAGGTGCGGCTTGCCTACCCTGGATTTGATTAAAAAGAGATAGAAATATGTTAATAATCCTGAACACCTGCTCTTTTTAAAAAATTAAAACAAAAATCAGTTTTAACACTCCTTTCAAATAAACACAATTCATCTTTATGTTGTACAATATTGATTCACTTTTGCTTCCTTATTGTAATAACTTGACCACAAGAAGCACGCCCTTCCCCTATTTCCGTAGCCTTTCCAATTCCACACGATATTCGTGAAGAGCACATTTTTTTTGCAAGGACTGAGACTATGTCCATAATAATGTGTTTTCGTTTGCAAACGGATACTCTTTGATGTGTTTTGGCCCTCAGTCCACTCTAAAATGCTTGAAAACGGATGCCTTTTGTATAGGTGGTAACATGATTTCGAGTACAATCTGGTGTCAATAAGGACGAATAAATTTTTCAAAGGCAACAAAACTGCACGAGCCCATGGGGCGAGTGCATTTTATAGTCTTTAAAAAATTTGCAAGTGCTTACTTACACAAAATTGTAAGTGAAATCATATTATTTACATGAAGAAAGCCTCATAGAAGACAGACGAAGTTTTGACAGCGCGCGCGCGCTATTTGCAATTTCCCCTTTTTTCAAGTTTTGAAAATTTTTTCCATGTAGAAATGAAAACGAATTGATTCCAAAACGATATCAAAAGTTTAAAACGCAGGCATATCGCTTTAGTTGAAAACGATGGATGACGTTGAATGACGTCATGGCGTCTGGCAACCTCTTTTCCAGGCCTCCCGTACTAGCCTTGTTTCACACAAGATTACGCACGTTTAGCTGTTTTTGCTCATGGTTTAGCGCCGGCCCGAAATGGCGCAAATCAAATCGAAAAACGCTCACCAAAGTGTAGAAATTTTAAAACGCAGGCACATCGTTTTAGACGGGGTCTAAAATGTTATCTAAAATCGGCACCAGAATTTCTGGAGCTATCTGTCGTGTCGCCGTTTCAATGAAAATCAAGAAAACTCGATAATTTTCTTTCTTCAGCTTAAATATTGTGTCACTCAATAGTCGGTTATGTACTTGTGCTTTCGTTGGTTAATCTGAAATTTTCTCAAAAAAGAGGAAAAACAAAGCAATTTGTCAGTTTGCATCGTGTCCAGGGGAGAATCTATTAACATCTTCACAGCACTCCCGAGGTCACAGTTTGATCTCCGTTGGTCGTTGAGTCAGTAATTCATTTCACTAAACTGAGAAAGGGAAAGAATAGACACTTCCAGTTTTAATATGAAGAACATTCGACTGCATTACATAGTTTCTTCACGTTCTCTGGCAGTTGCGATATATCATGTTTGGAATTTCATCATATGGGAACATAACAACTACAAATGAAAATGCAACGAATTTGTTTGTGCACACGAAGTGTTGATGATTGAAGTGCAAACTAAAATGAGCGAACTGTTGTTGTTTAAATATTTTTCAAGTAGTCTCTCTATCACTGGCTAACTATTGTCATCAATTAGAACGTCAACACATGGAGCCATCAAATAGAAAATGTCAACGAAAACTTCTAATTGATTATTATGGTTTGCCAGCAGGGAAGGAACCATCAATCAAAAATGGTAATAGGTGATCAAAACAGCTTGCCTATCGCCGAGAAGAAAGGGAAGTTCTGATGGAAATAGATTTTATATCTAAGGTAAGAAAAAATAGTTTTTAAGGTTATGAAAAAGTAAGCAATATAGATAAGACATTCTCAACACCCTTAGTTGGTCTATTTACTTACTCTTTAGCCAAACAGCATTGATACCTCACAATATAAGTAAAATAATCTGCCCGCACAGAGTGAACTGCATTTAAAGGAACACATTATCGATTTCAGTACAATCTTCGCAAGTACAATGCTTTTTTTAAAATAAAATGTTTATTACTGCAACTCGTGGAAGAAATCTTAAAATAACCCAAAACACGTTGCTCATAATTTCTTCCATAGAGTGGCTCTTCAAACAATAGATTTGTTCAAAACAGAGCCTTTAACTCGCTTGAATTTGGAGCGACAAAATTTTAATTAGAATTTCAAACTAAACAATGGGTGTTAAGAGTATGTATCAGTGGTAATACAAATCTTATCTTGAGTGAGAATAATCAACATTTACAACGGGAAATGACATTTGTGATAAAAAGATATCATTGAGGCAGTTAAAAAGAAATCTTTCTTTCGAATGCAAATCTTATCTTCAGAACATCCCGAGCCAAAAATGGAATTATGGAACTTTTCAAAGAGTGACAGTATCGATGTAGAGTCAATGTCCAACTCCAGTAGCGTTATTCTCAAAGAAGGTACGATATACATGTTAATCTAGCACATCTGAACACGCTATTGCGGTACGTCAAGCCACTTACTGAATAACCTTCCTTTAAGAAGATGAACATATCGGGTACATATTGCACCTTTAAGAGAAATATGGTCTATTAGCTTTTTTAAATTTCTATCAAATGGAGCTTCATGGCTGAAAATTGAAAATATGCCAAAATATATGCTTGAAGATTTCACTTTTAGTAACGGAGCCACAGTTCTTACGAGTACCTTAACGTATACCCGAGGATGGGAAAGTTAGAAAAGCAAGAGGAATATACTGTAACACTTTTAAGGTATGAAATCATGTTCTCTCTTGTTTGTAAACTCACATGTTACCAGAAATATTTACTTCTTTACCCTTTAGGGAATGCTACAAGGGATGGTGGAAAGGAACAAGGTCATTTGAATCTGGTGATGTATGTGGCCTACACCATCACATTTCTGTCATCTTTATTCGGCAACTCAGTTATCATTTATATCATTCGAACAGATAACTCCTTGAAGACCACGACAAATTATCTGGTTATGAACCAAGCATGTGTCGATATTTTTATAACATTGTCTGAGCCAGTGAATTTCCTTTATCACAGTTTCACAGGCAGCCTATGGCTTAGGGGCGTTATAGGTTTAATAACTTGCAAGGTGTATATGACATCTGTATACTCATTGCCTGACTTTTCAGTGTGGATCCTTGCAGTGATTGCTGTTGACCGCTTTTACGCAGTAGTTCTGCCTTTAAGACAGTCACCTGTATCTCAGCATTTAAAGAAAATCATGTTTATTCTCTGGTTATGGTCTCTCGCTTGGTCGGTACCCATCGTTATCGGTGAGAACTTTATAAAAGTTGGACAGTCCTATTATTGCGATTTATATCGTCTTGTAAATAAGTGGACTATCCTTAACGATATACATCTCGCTGTGGGTGTCTTGTTACCTTTTCTAGTAATAGTCTGTCTTTACACGGCAGTGTGCTACAAACTTTGGTCACGTAAAGTGCCAGGAGAAGGAGCCAATCAGATCGAGGCTCAGAGAATAGCAAAAAGAGTCACCGTAATGATGATTGCAGAGGTAGTATTGTACGCCTTTTGCTGGTTCACTTTGTTTACATTTTTCTTCTTAAATTCTCACCATTACCTACAGTTAAATGGAATACTACTTTTCTTGGTTATGTGGCTACCATCTCTCTTCAGTGGCCTCAATCCTTACGTTTACCTCACATTTAGTCAAAATTTTCGCAAGGCCTGTAAAAAGATATTGTCAAATTGCCGTTTCCCACCTCAAGATATACGTCCTATTTCTGTTTGTTCATAACACATAGAACTAAAACAGAGGTAAGAACATGTAGCTTAATAGTATACAAACATGAAGGGCGACGTTGCTGAATAAAGTTCACGGCATTGCCTTTGTATACCGAAATAACATTAAAGTTGTTGAGTATAATGTTTTCCCTGTTGCTTGCTTCTTGTGTCATTAGTACTGACAAAATGAGAAGGCATGCGTTATTGTTGTTACAGTGGGAATTTCAGTTGGGTATTAGGTGTATATTCGACTAATAAAAAAAAAGAAATCTGAAAAAAGGATCTTAATAGATAAAAACGGCAAAATTCTCAGGAACGTGAAGCGTATGAGATCCACAAGCCCGCAGGGCTTGAAAAACAAGGAACAGCGGACATAGCATAGGGTTCTGTCCAAAAAGTAATGAGAACGAACATCCACAAAGTCTTAAAGACCGTGTCATGTTTAGTCCCGGCACTGAGTGATAACTTTATATCAAGAGTGCAAGACTGACAAATTTTCTTACAAAAAAATTTCGATCGCTACTAAAGTCAACACGATTTAAAGGTTCTATGCATAAAACATCAGTGGTATTAAAAAAATTTTGCAGCGTGGTAACAGCACCTACCCTTCCTTTAAAGACATTACATTTCTGTCACTTTTAATTTTATAAGAAACAACCTGCGTCATCTCTTGCCTTGGCCACCCAGTTGATCGACATTTCAGAATGCACTATAATGGAAAAGGGAATAGGGTACGTTGTTTGTAGTTAGAGTAGAACTAATTATCAAACGACAGACACCACCAGCAAAGAGCGTAATTGCTTATATAGGATTCAGTTAAATGAAACTTATGGTTTCAGTAAACAAGAAACACTTCATAGAACAGCAAGCTATAAGTGATTCTACAGCGACTCCCTTTCTCTCTGCTTAAGGAGATAAATGAAAAAAATTATTCAAGTAGGGGTTTGCACGATTTGTCCATATCCCTTTTTAAAGACTATAGATCAAAGCTGTCTACATTATTTAGCTTCCAGATTTAACTAAGTATTGAATTATTCGTTTACTGCCATTTCTTTTACAAATTTTATTTTCAGATATGTAGTAAGAGTCTAGTACAAAGAACGGGAAGTTTTGGTATTATAAAAAGTCGCCAACATTTAACCTTCGTTTCGATTTACTTTCCGATGATTCAACTCGAGTTTCATTCACACTATAAAGCTTTTGACAAACATCGTACCTTGTTTGAAATTGTGAATACAAAGGTACATCTATTGTAATTAAAATTCAAGCCAGCTTTAAAACGAAAATAAAAATATTTTAAACCATTGTTATCACTGAACAGGAAACGAAAGTTTTTCACTAAACCTGTCCTCTTGAAAATATTGCCGGATTTTATCTTCTCAGATTGACCAAAGGAACTGAACTCAAAGGTAAGAAAAACTTGTAACGCAATACTATTAATGATTAAAACAAGAAACGAAGCTTCACATAGATAGTGTGTATGATCTGAAGCTCTTAACTGAGCCTAGTATCGTTTTGACGAGTTAACTCTTTCATTTGTGGTACATTGCCTTCCGGTTAAATTTTTCAAACCATACCCAAACAGAAATTATATCGCCCTTAATATCATCCAGACTTAACTCTGGCAAAGAACCCTTAAACAAACAAGGCATGAGCTTTTTTCGGAATAATTGAAATGGTTCCAAGGCTAGATCAGCAGGTAAAACGAGATTAAAAATTCTTCTTCAATACCTTGAGTTGCTTACAAAACAAAACGTCAGGAGGCTTCATTGCGGGAGTCAGGTATATCAGAAGTCCCTCGTTCCTTTCGCCAATTTCTCGCCCAGCTGTTTAGTAAGTGAGTACAAGCGTTTTATATGGAAGACTTCAAGATCAGAACAGAGGAGCCATATTTATTTGACGCTGCTAACTCAAACGTAACGAAACCTTTGAGTGACTCATTATACAGCGGTTAACTAGCGACAATAGACAAAAGGCGTATAGTAATTAATTTGATGGTTTCTCCTTCACTCACAGGAAAGTGTCAAGTAGAGTTAAACATGTCCTCTCTAATCTTGCTGACGCATTTAATACTTCTGGCTTCCCTTTTCGGAAACTCAGTCCTAATTCACATCATACGAGCAGATGACTCCCTGAAGACAACAATAAATTACTTGATCTTGAACCAAGCATGCGCTGATCTTTGGTTTACATTGATCGGGTGTATAGGCATAACTCTCCAAACAGACCAGCCGGGATATATATGGTTTCGAGGAAATTTTGCTACAATAACTTGTAGGTCCTTTCTCTCGATTTTGGTCATCCCATCTCTGTTTACCAGCTGGATTCTGGTAGCGATTGCTGTTGAGCGTTTTTATGCAGTCACTCAACCGTTGAGGCGCTCGCCTCTATCTCAGCACTTAAGGAAAACATTGGTGTTTATGTGGATTTGGTCTCTTGCCGGCTCAACAAATGTCCTTGTAAATGGAATGCTCTTTAAAGCCGAGCCAAACTATTACTGCACTGTTTCCGATAAGTGGATAATACCTCGCTCAATTTCAGCCATAGTAAATGTACTCATTCCTGTAATAATAATGGCAGTTCTCTACACTATAGTTTGTCGAACACTGTGGTCTCGTGAGATACCAGGAGAGGGAACCAACCAGAATCAAGGGCAAAACAGTGCGACAAAGATAGCAAGACGAGTTTCCATCATGATGATTGTTATTGTTGTTTTGTACATAGTTTGCTGTTTTCCTTACGACGTAAACCTCGCTTTAACATCTTTAGGCTTCGTAGAAGTAAAATCTAACGCTGACAGATTTCTTATCATGATAGCAATTACCTACAGTAGTATCAATCCTTACATTTATCTTACCTTTAATCAAAAATTTCGACATGCCTTTAAGAAAAGTCTTCCGAACTGTTTCCGAAGAGTCAATATTCTCCGCGTTCCTCCTTTTCGATCCCAAAGCGTAGAATTGGAACAAATATCAAAAACAGAGCAGGCGCCTGAAATGGAACGTGTGGGCCGTTATTAAATGCACGAGGGGTAAATATAATTAAATAACGCAACCAAAATATTGCAATGAACGTATGTAGATGACTTCCAGAGCCAAGATTACTAGCATGTAAAAGCTTTGCAAAGAGTCATAATTCTTCTTGTCATGATATCATGTTACTAAGACTGTTAGTTCATCTTTGATAATTGGCAAGATTTTCAATATCCCGACTATGAAAACGAATCACACCACAATCATTGATGATTATATGATTTGGATTGCTCTTATGAGCAAATGAAATTACCTCGGCTCTTTTTATTAATCGAAAGTGAAAAGAAATTAAGACAAAAAAAAATGTATGAAAGCAAAATGCGATGAATAACGTGCTTTCCCATGCAACATGCACTGTTCTTAAAAAGGTCAGAGAAAGGTAACAGTGACTTAATACACCTAACTCTAACCTGACTAAAGACCTGCGACAATTCAGCGAAGAAAATATTTATCAAAATAAAATATAATTAATTCTTGATAATTTATAACATATAAAGCCCCAGCGATTACCACTGTAGCGACATTTAATCAGTAATGTGGGCTAGTTAAAAAAGTTTCGTCCCGTTACTCTAGTAGAATCGAGTATCAATTTATTGAAGTGTAACTATATCGCTATGTATTGTCATTTAGTTCTGTACTTTTTAGTTCTATGTCAAATTGCGCAAGTGGAAACTGTAATAGCAACATCATAGAAAAAACATTAAATTCAAAAGCAGAAACCTCCATTCCTAGATCCACCATGTTTCTCAACTCGAGCAGGACATACGTGCATCATTTCTTGAGGCTTTGTCATTCCTTTTTAAAAACAATTCACAGTCTGCTCGAGGCCGTGACTTTTATAATCTTCTTACAAAAACACGCACCGCTTGTCGAATATCTTATGCGTCCATTGACGACCTGCTCCCATTGCTCCCTGTTCCTAGTGAAAAGACATGAGTGAAGAAGCAGGCGTCCTCGCCAAATACTTCCAAATGAGTGTACTTTCTTAATTTATCGCCTGAGCACAAACTTGACAAAGAAAACTGATCGCAAAATAAACATTGACTGCAGCTAGATAGCTTTGGCAGGTATATAAGGTGGTAAAGATTGAATCAGATGGGGAAAATCTAAGCGAAGTATTGGCCTTTTGTTTCATATAAGATGAGTAATTCAAAGTTGCTGAACGCTTTACCTTTCTTTGGCCATACATATTCATTATCAATTGGAGAACTCAAAATATTCTACCGTTCGTTGTAGCTTATAAATTCCCTATTAGTGCGAAATTGGCTCGGAAGGAAACTTTATTTCTTAATTAAAAAAAAAAAGAACGTGATGAGCTGGAGACACTTACAAGTGTTAGACAAACTCTGACAAGGATTACCAAAGGGGTAAAACGACAGTTTAAGAAAATTTGTTTGTGAGAAGTCTACTTGTTATTATAGTAAGGTTTGAGCACGAAAGAGGATATTACATGGCCTTACGGGAACACGAATTCTATCTTCGATAGTTCGCGGTCTTAGTAACTATATTGAGTGAGAGACATCGCATCTTATTTCAGAGACAGGAGAGATTTGGTATTTCACCAATCTATATACTCATATAACAAAAACTCAGTAGTTCATATGTTCTGGATGAGCTAAACAAATTCAACATTTCTCGCACGAAGACAGGTGTTAAAGCGGCAAATTGTCAAGAACTAATTTTTTTATTAAAATGTTTTTCAAAATATCTCTCAAACATCTTGCACGCTCATTGGCTAGCTTTTGTCATGTATAAGAGTACAGGAGGACACAAATTATAAGAGCTGTCAACGATAGTAGATCAAGGAATAATTTTCCCAAACATCTCCCGAAAATTTTTCTCATCATAATATTCAAGTGCAGTGAAACCCCCAATGAAAGATTGCAAATAGCTGTTGTTCGAGATAGGTTGTTCATCGGCTGGAAAATACTTTATTGTACTGAGAAACAGATGTCAGACTAAGGTAAGTAAAGGTGATGGCAACTTACTGTTGCTGACTAACTTGCCTTCATCTTTAAAAATAGCAAAGAAAAAAAAAGAAAAGGGAAACAGATAAATTTTATTCAGAGTTTGATTTTTATCTATTTAAGTTCTATCCCCAGTTCATCGCTTTGTTTTTACTCAACGTTTACGTGACTGAATGAAATGTGTTTCATATTCTCTCTTTAATTCAAAAGGTCTGATGAAAGGCGACACAATCGCGATATTTCAAAAAGCTCTAGGATTGATTGCTTGAGAGTAAGGAAAAAGCCAAAGAATCTTGTCTCGTGAAATCGAATTGCGGGTTATAGTGCGTGGCAACAATATCAATTTCTTAACAGTTAAACCATACACTTTCTGCAAATGCACTGCATGCAGATATTGGCTTCTACGTGTCATTCTAAACAAGATAATTAAGTCGGCTTTTTGTGCAATAACCACATGTAAATCGTGACCTAACCGCGCAACAAAGCAAAAGTTAAGGGAAATAATTCAGTATAACTCCCTGAAAGAAAGAAAGAAAGAAAGAAAGAAAGAAAGAAAGAAAGGAAGTCAGATAAGTTGCGACCGAAAAAAAAGGGGGGGGGTAGGGGGGTGAGGTTGTAAGACGCAAATTCAAATCGTTGAATCGTTGAATTATTTACGAACTAAAGGATTTAATTTTTATTTCCATTTATTTTTATCTACAGAGAATTGTGTTGGAAACTTACCATGTAATAACATTTTTTGCACGTTCCAGGAAAGCAACAATACATTTAGTCTCAAGTCCCTCTTACACGAAGCGATGGCAGGTAATATGTAAAGGAAACTTGGTTTGGTCACCGGGAAAACTGAGAAATATGGTTTAATGAAGTTACTTCTTCCTAGGAACATTTTAAGTGCTGGTTTCCTTATAATAAATCGCAACCAAACGAAGGTAAAACTAGAGAATGGCAGGCTTTTCAAAACCCAACGGGAATCTAACTTAAGACAATAACGAACAACAAATGGCAATATGTAAAACGCTAATTTCTTTTGCAGATGACAAATTTTCATTTCTCGTCTTGCCAGAAAATAACACAAGTACCATGAAAGCAACACATTATCACGTTACCCCGTTCATTTACTTTGTCTACGTCTTCACATTTGTTTTGTCTCTGGTGGGTAACTCGGTCATCATTCACATCATACGAAAAGATCGCACCATGAGAACCATCACAAATTGGTTAATACTCAGCCAAGCGTGCGTCGATCTCTACTTAACAATGATAAATTTATTGCACGTTTTTGTCCCCTTTCATGATTTTAAGACGCTAACTCATCTTTGGATTGGTGGGGTCTTTGGACAAATCACATGCAAGTCCTTTTTGGCAAGTGTGGTTATTTCACCGGTCTTTACAGGGTGGATCCTGGTACCTATAGCTGTCGAACGCTTCTACGCAGTCATAAGACCTTTCAAATCATCGCCAATATCTCAGCACTTGAAGAAAACTATCATGTCAGTGTACACTTGGTCTGTCGCTTGTTCAGTAAACGTCATGGTGAATGGAGTCGTCGTGGAAATCAACAAATACCATTACTGTGGTTTGCCATCTGGATTGACACGTATTGACATAATTTTGAGCACTTTCAACATCTCCATAATTCTGCTCATCATAATGGTCCTCTACACGGTCGTCTGCCATAAACTTTGGTCGCGTGGAGTCCCAATAGAGGGTATCACTCAAAATCAAAGACACGTGGAATCAAACAAGAAAACAGCAAAAAAAGTAACTTCGATGATGATTACTGTTGTTGTCTTATACATACTATGTTGGTTTCCACTTGCTGTAGTGCTGATTCTGAATTACCATGGTATTGTACACATAAGTTTAAACGTATATTTCTTCGTTACATGGTTAACGGTTGCGTTCAGTGGTACTAATCCTTACGTTTATTTTGCCTTTGCTCAAACGTTCAGGCAGGCGTTTAAAAGGAAGTTTGATAATTTCTATAGAAAATGCAAGATTGACAGTGTTCTTCATTGCTCTAACGTTCGGTCCGAAAGGGTCGACTTAGAGTCGATCGAAAGGCGTAATTAAGGCATTTCATCCTCAGAGTAACTGGCCGCTCTACCGCAAGAAACGATCCCTTGGTTTATAGAAATTTAATTTTTTTTTGATTCATCAAACTTTTTTCACGATTCACATGCATATTAATTTTTTACTTTACCACTTTGCATGGCGGCGTCAAAAGGCCACGTTGTTGTTTGCCGTTTTCTGACTGAGTTGGTAACACGTGAAATCAAACAGATTTCGTTATAAATTGTTGTAATTTCAAGCGAAAAAGGTGTTGTTTAGAACGTGGCTTACAACTGTAAATAACAAAGTTGTACATGTAGCTTTTATTTTGAAGACATTGTTTCAAATCGGATGTATAGAGGGGGTAATTTTTAAAAGAAACTGTGGGGGATACAACAAGATAATTTGGTTTTATCAACTGAGTTGAGAATACCAATTGGCCACCCTACAGAGATTCAAAGCTGACGTTTCGAGCGTTAGCCCTTCGTCAGAGAACAAATCAGATATGCAGAGAATTTGTGTTTCATTCAATTTTTCGTAGATTAAAAGTTTCGTTCTCTTACATCGAGGGGGTGATACAACGTTATTTAACTAGCGAGTTTTGAGCACCTATATTTTCTCTTATGAGAAGCTATTCAAGGCTGTGCTTTTGTATTGTATGTATATTTCGAAAAAAGGAACTCTGAATCGAAATGCTTCATGCAGTATGATTTTTACAGAGCTCACACGCCATACAGCTACACAAAAAAGATAATGGGAAAACAAGGTGATTAGTTTGTAAATAAAACAAATAGAAATTATCAAACAAACCCACTAAGAAAAACAACATCTGGTGAAAGTGGAACGGCCAGTACTACAGAATGTACATACTCAGTACCAACCGTTATATACTCAAGATCCAACTATTCATGACTGCCTGGTCTTAAAATGTGATATATTTAAGATTTAGAGGTTTTTTCCAATGTTAATAAATTTCAAATTTTAAAAGGGTTACGTCAATGCTTAATTGCTTGACACCATTGCAGTTTTACCTACACCCTGCAATCTTTGACATAATAGCTAATAGTAATGTAACAATGGTTAACATTAGAAATATAACATTTGAAGAAGAGGAAGTCTTAATGATCGCAATTGTGTTATCAAGTTTCTTCTTAATAAGACATTCGAAAAGCATCATAATTTGTTTTCGTAAAACTGCAAAGCATCCTTCATTCATTGTATGCAAAAAACACGCCTACTTTACCGTATGTGGCTAATAAAATACGTTCTACCTGCGTTTTTAGCAATTTTTCCATTTCAGGCAGACTTTTTCGAGTGGAATTCGACAACATATAAGTTACAACTGCTACATTAATTGTTAAAACGTTTATTCCAGTAATCAAAGAGTTATTTCTACCCAAAACGGCCAGATTCGAAAGGTTGCGTAACCCCAATTCTTCTCTATTTGGGGTTCAACCGTTAATCATTGTAACAAAAGTTGCATATTAGCCTGTAATGCACGAACACACCGTATAAAGAGGACATTAGGATGACGCTTCAGCTTGGTTTGATAAAGAAATTTCTTTCATCAAGATGCAGATCTAAGTTCTAATGAGCCTTGTGAGCCACAGATTGTCTCACTGAATTTTAGGAACGGAGGAAATCTCAACCAAGAATCAGCAATACACATAATGAAAAGCTGTGGTTTTGCTTAAAAAGAAGGTGTAGCAATCTTTTTAATTTAGCACACACTAGAGCAGGTTTAAAATCAAGCCACTTACAAGCTAACCATAGCTTTCGTTTATTCTGCCCACTACAACATATTTTCCTTTTTTTCGCCCCTCGATCTTTAAGAGCTTACAGCTGTCATGAGAAAAAAGAAAACACATCAATGAGTGGGAAATAAAAGAGCGTAGAAAGAAGATTTTCCATGTAAGGAGTTTCCCAAAAATAGGGCCATTTCGGAGAGTAAAATATAGTCCTATTTTGGGGGCTGATTTGGCCCCTCTGGAAATAGTTTTTTTGGCCTCAGCAAAATGGGGCAGAAATGACCTTGTATGGGGCAGCCGAAACGACTTCATTACGGGGCTGTTTTGGGAAAATGAGGGGTAGTTTTGGTTTGTAAAGGGGTTAAAATGGTACGATTGGATGGCCAAATCAGCCCTTCTGGAGTCAATTCATACCTAAGAGGGAGTAAAAATTTGCCCCGATTTCGTGGCCTCTTTTGGCCTATGTAAGGTCAAAAAAAATAAAATTTAATGACTTAATCGGCATCTTTGGGTCTGAAACGACGCTCTTGACAGGAGCTGTTTAATGCCTTAATTACTGTATGTAAAACAGCCCTCTGAACAGAACTAAAATGGTTTTTGGTATGATAAAAAATGGCCCCACTTGAGCTATTTCGCATCTGTACATTTAAAGCAAACAATACCTTTAAAGGGTGACTGATTTAGCCCGTGTAAAGGCAAAAGGAAAGCACGTAATGTGACGCAAGCAATCCAAACGAAGTTTGAATGACACCTAACTTTAGCTCTATAACAGTTTTATTGGGGCTAAAATCAATTTTTATTCATCCTATCAGATGGTTCCAATTTTCTATTTGATTTACACTCATTATAAAACACTTAGCAGCTGAAATAACTACATAAAAATTCCTTAAATGGCGATTAATAGTTATATACATAGGAAACATGATTTGTTGTTGTTTCAAGATCCGTTTTTATCAACCATTCAGTAGCATACAGCGTTGTAAGACAATACAGATGTAACTCGATCTCAGTCTAGTTAGACATTGATGGCGCATGTAATCACGTACATATTGCAACAGTTGTAAAAATTATGCATTCTCCAACAGTAACCTTTTTTGGCAAGCTAAAAAAATAAATATGCATAAAACAGCTGTGAAAGGGCTATAAGCTTGTAGCCCTCTCCTCTCCTTCAGTGGTGACTAAGGGGTGCTTGAATCACTGAAGTTTCTTCATCCGATTCATTATTTTTATTTCAACAGAGCCCTGAGACTGGGAGTAAGAACAAGCATTGAAAACAGTTTGAAACTACCAAAAAAACATACCCATCGGTGAAAAATGTTTGTACATTTGTGGAACATTTGTAAAATGAAGAGGAAATACATCAATGTTAACCATACAAAGTCATTGTCATAAGTTTTATACCAAAGGGGACTGGTAGCATTATTCAAAAAGTGAATTCTGATATTGTAAGATTCTTCAATTCTGTTGTTGTTTAACAACAACAGAACTGAAGAATGGGATTATCAAATGATTTTTTGGCACTGTAGAGCAATTTGTGTGTTTTTGTGCGTACTTTCATCATAAGAAAAATACTTTTTTTGGAAAGTCCAGAACATTGAAAATGGAATCCATCCAACTAAAAAGTATTTTCATATGGAGAGAGTATATAACCTGCAAATCACACCATGTATCTTTACATATCAGTTGTTGCAAGTTGTCTCTAAAGCAATGGGAGAATAAGATGTCTTAAAAAAAAACTATCCAGGTCCCTGATGTTTCCAAGATTTTCTTCTCCCCCAAGCAGGGATACTTTCTCAGTATAGGTTTGGTAATGAACACTCTTTTTGCCTCGGTGGGGTGCCTCGTGTGATTAAGGATTGCAGTACACACTCTGATTTTAACTGCTATGTAATTAATCAAATTAGATTCATTAAAAAAATTTAACTACCTTACAACAGCATGATTAATTTCTACTCTAAAAAGATCTTTAACCCTCACTATTGGTAATTCTTGTCATTAATGTAAATAAAGCTGATTAGCTGAATCAGTGGTATGAATTTCATTATTATAATAATAATTTGCCATGATCATAACTCAACTTAAAGGTCTCCCACCCACATTTTGCCTCTGGCATCAAATAAACTGGCTCAAAATATAGCGAGTTTTGCGCTGATTAAATTGCTAAACTGATTTTTTCTGTGTGGATTCCAATTCTTTTTATTAAAGGAAAATTTTTCAATATTTAATCATCTAAATTGTAGTTTATTGAAGGTGACCTTCAGCTGAGAAAGTGTACAGGTTATGATAACAACTGCACATCCATTGAGTATTCAGATGCTAACTTAACTGCTGTATATGGTATAAATCATTGTTCTATTTTAAACCAGTCTTGTTATTGTCATTTGATTGGAGGTCTTCCTGGTGATGCAAAGAATAGGAGTTCTCCTATTTGAAACCAGGGAATATCTTAAGTATTCAATTAAAGAGCAAAGTTACTTCACATTAGAGCAGCTCAATCTATGGATCTGGACAGCACTTCGACTTTAGATATTCTGAATCTTTTTATAATCAATCACCTATTGCAGCTCAAACTCTTGAATCCATAGCAAACGCACTTAAACAGAAAGGTGATTATTTGTGTTGAAGTTGAAAATATTTGCAAACTACTTTGATTTTAACTGTAGTGTGGCACCATTAGAAAATATAAGTGGAGTAATGCAAAATCAAATTTCAACTAGTGTTAAAAAAACAATTTTGCCAACAATTTAGTTGTTCTCATATGCTTTTTGTTTTATATTAAGCGTCTCAAATGTGGTGCCTTGGAAGATTTCTTCCCTTGTTGATTGGTGCTCATGTGCCATGTGCCATGAGGATGAAAGTGGCAACTGTACATCTTGTTCTTAGAAATTATGGATGCAGTATTTTCACCAGCCATTATAAACGGCCAACAAAGCTGCATTCATCAAAGACCTTTTTGAAGACCACCACACTAGATTTGTACAGATGTACTAAAAGCCATCTCTAATCCCTAGAATGCACTACATGATTCATTACCCCTGGACAATGTTAAGGTATGTAGGTCTTGACCAGAATAGTTCACATCCCTGATACAAACTGTATATTAGCTCAGCAACATCCTATAAACTTAAGTGTTGGTTCTAAGAAATCACTGATAATTTGATTTGCCTGCCACTTTCTTAAATTCTTTCTTTTGGACTTTGACCAATGGTGCTTACACCATGTAGGAGATTTGAGGCCAAGCATAAAAAACTGAAATGTCTTGCTTCAGTGACGGGGAATTTTGCCAATATCCCACAGACTTAAGCTAAGCTACACCAATTAAGGCAACCTTTTATTGAAAAACCTAAGGAAATCAGTCAAGGTAGATTTGCTTCCTTGATCAGGCTATAATTTTTCTTTTTGTCTGTTGTTGATGTATCTGTCAAATACTAAATGTATTGTCAAATATCCTGTATTATGTGTAAAGCTTTGCATGAACATTATAACAAGGTTTTGTTAAGCCATAAATTTTCTGTGATCATTTTAATTCCCACCCCACTGAGACTTAATTTGCAAGTTTGAATTGTTTGTCCTTGAGGAGTTAAGAGAGAAGCCCACGTCACAGGCTACTTTCAGCAAGTGCATGCATGACTGGATTCAGCTAGAGAAGATGGCATCATATATGAGTGTGTGGTCTTTCAGGTTTTTCTATTGATTGTTTGAGTGATTCACTCATTCATTTAATGGGAACCTTGCTGTGTATGAGCAAGGACTTGTTCCACTAAACTCGTGTTTAGTGGAACAAATTCTTGTATTTATTTGGCATTTAGTTGTAGGTTCAGGCACTCATTGAAAAATCAACTTGGAAATTGCTTCAAGTTATGCAAGGCTTGGAATGTTCCACACTGCCCTAATTTTTTTGATCCTGGAGTGTAGACATGAACCAGTGATGAAACAGAAAATACCAAGGCAACATAGCATATAGAAAACAAGAACTAATACCCCCTGGAACATTAAAAGGGGTGTATGGAGGCTTTGCCCCATTACAAATTTACCCCATCAAATTTAGTTTCCCCCACCTTTACCAGTTTGCCCCCACCACTTCCTAACTAACACACTTCACTGTTCAAGCAGGCTTAAAGTCATATTGAAAGACTGACATCTATGAAACAAGGGTGCATATGTTAAACTACATAGCTGATTGATTTTCAAGCATTTTAAATGACAAAACTTGAGAAGAAACAAGTTTAAAAACTTGGGGTGAGCCAGTATAGGCAGAAGTAAACTTGCTATATTTGCTAGGACAAACTCTTTGTGATCGGGGGTGAGATGATAGAGGGCACACAACAATAACCAAACTTCAGATTCCTTAAAATGTTATTCCATCTACTGTACCAGCAAAGAAGGGTGACACATCAAAGCATATAATTGAACAAAGTTTCAGTCTAAATGTTTTTTTTGTTGTTTTTGCCACAAAGCAGTTATAAAAGCAGTGCTAAACAAATCAACTGCCAGTTGATACAAAGTAATCAAAAAAATATTAAACAAGTACCAATAAAACCTGGATTATGGATATTACAAATATCAAAATTCAGTCACCTTTTCTAAGCTTCTGGATGCTCCATATGTGGAATTTGAGTGGACTTGTTAAGCCTGTTCTTCCTGGCACTTCTTGGAAAACACCCAAATCCTGAGCCATTTTTATTTGAATAATTCCTGTAGAACTCCATTCTTAATTATGTTCTCAGTTCTCTGATAAAAGAAAACAATAACAAAATAACAAATGACATGTGAGACCAAGGCTTTGTTTTAGCTAAAGTATCGGATTATTATTGGATTATATGTTTCTACGTTTCTACATTTCAAGAGATATGACTTGCCACTTCCGGTACTAACAGTAAAAAACACACTCTTTCCAGCTCTTATGGCGTTTATCACTGCCATTGTTCAGGTATTAGATTAATTTGCCAAGAACTCAAAGAGCTGAGACGTCTTCTTGCTGGTCCGCTGTGTTCGTCGTTTCCTCAATTCGAATCGCTTTCTGTACCTGTAGTTTTAATTCGCTTCGGTGCCACACCGTTCTTATCTTCCAGGGGTCTTTTCTTGCAGCCCACTGTGAAATCCTTGTCTGTAGGAGGGCTTATGTTTTCAAACGACCGCGCTTTATCACTGAGAAGCCGTCTTCTGTTACTTGCAATTCCATTTTGTTTACTTTGAGCAAGTTTCAATGACAGACATTTTAAAAACGTCACGAGCTGATTCGGTGGACAATTCGAAAACACTATTTGAATCATCTGTGCCAGAAGTTTGATGGTAGCCATCCCTTCCTGTAAAAACCGTTTGTGAATGGTTATTTTCTTCAGGAGAAAAGTTTTTCCCAACGGAGATTGACTACTGACGATGTGCGAAATTCTTCTCGATCCAAGACAACTACTCTTGAAGATTCGCCGTTTCGTGACCACACCGTTGGAATTGAAGTTTTCCACTGTCAAACAGCATTCTAACTCACTAGCTTCCATCACTCTATCGAAATAAAACTTTAAAAACGTTTGAAAGAAATGGAAGCTTTGATCGAAAGGAATCAGTCGTTTCTTTCGCCTTTAAATTTTGGTGTCCCAAGACATCGACAAATTACATGCAAAGGGTAAGTAGTTTCCAGTCCTCTTTGTCGGGGTCTCAAACCGGCTAAATTTAGCAAGAATGTCACAAACAATTCCATACTCTATCGTCCTAACTTCGGTCATTTCCGGTGATTTGAGCCTCCAGATTATTCAACGAACCTCACCTGAATACCCCTATATTGATTCATCTGCGCAGTGAACTGTGGAAGTTTGCATACCCCAGTTCTTCTTTCGTGGGCTTTCCCATGTATACCCTTTCTTTTCAATGTCTTGTAACGCTCTGCCATTCTTAGCCTGCAGTGAGGCCGGCCGTGTTTGTACGGTGCAGAGGAGGGGGCGGGGATGGCCAGAATACTATTGACCCACTCCATCTGGAATCCCCTCTCCTTCCTTCTGAATTTTTTCCCCATTTTTTCGGTTTTTATTTTCTCAATACCCTCCAAAAGTGTAAATGATAGTAAAACAATTTATGTTCTGAAGCATGATTATGTTTTTGGGCCCTTCTCAGAGTCATTACAACATTCGCCTGACGGAAAGGGCTAAAATGACTCAGTCGAGCCCAAAACATAGTTATGCCCAAGAACATAAACTTTGTATTATTTCATTGTGAAGAAACGTTTGGACCCGAGAGTTATCTGAGAAGAAGGCTGCAGATACGTCGGATACTCCGGACTTTCAAATGTGCTCTTAGTCTCATCAGAGAATGAATGGGGACGTTTAGATACCTTTTAAGGGATTCGAATGCCGTTTGTCAATACGTAGACGTGATTGGTCACTCACTAAGTGAGTGCAATTCACAAGTGCTTATTTATTCCAAATTGCACGAGAAAAATCTTGTGATTGCGTATTTATAACATACATGAAAAAATACGAGATAGCTTATCATGATTGAGCTGAAGCAAAGCGCGCGCATCAAGTGAAAAATGATTTCTTTAACCCGTTGGCTTCGGTCAAAACAACTGCGCATGATCACAACATTAATATATAATGATATTTTCACATCTTTAGGGCACAAATAGTTAAGAGTTCAGCTAAACACTTCAAGGAATTGTTCAGTTTGAGTCCGAATCACTTTCGATGAAATGGAATCGTCCTTTGCGATCATGTTTGCTTTTAATTTTGGCGTAGAATCGCTCGGGCAAAGTGTTAAGCTGGGTCTGCTCGTAATTTTCAATTTCCTCGGCAATTCCCCTCTCTAAACACCACTTTTTCCAAACCGACAACCAAAGAGTAGTGCTTTTTACAGCTAGTGTTTTCTTTGTTAGAGCTGTTTTTCAGCTGCTATATTGTTGTTGCGGTGGCGAAAGAAAACCTACTTGACACGCGGGCCATTGTTTCGCTCGCAAATTTTCAGCGTATCCAAATGTTGCGACATCCGAGGTTCGCATTTGATTGGCTGTCTGTGAGTTTCTTTGATTATTGACCAAGCGGAATTCTGGTTTGTTACTTCTTTGCACTGAATTAACCCTCCTCTGCATTGAATTACCTGAAAACTGCGTTTATCTTAACCAATCAGAACTGAGTAATTTTTCATGTATATTATTAGGAACAGTAATAAGCCACGATCTTGAAGTTGGGGCAAAATAGAGGAACTAAAAAGTTCCCCCGTAATCAAGTTGTATAGACCGAAAAAAGTGGTTAACAATTATAAATTTTCTCTCTCTCTCCCTCTCTCTTAAGGTAAAGCAAGTTTTTTTTTTGTTTCTAATTACTCGGACCACATAGACAATGGACTACGAAATAACTATGCGTGAGTTTATTTCAGAAAAATAAGCACTTTCTTTTCCTTTCTTTTAACTAAAATAATGAGGTTAAAGCTCTTTTTCTTTTACAAAAATGAAAACATCAATTACACAGTGTCCCACCTCAGTTCACCCAGCCAAAAAAAATTAACTTTTGCATGCATTGCATGCCTATGATTTTACTGTTTGTTCAGTCCACTGTTTCTTCTTTTAACTTTGTTTGTTGCGATTATATTGAGCACTGTTTTGTTTTTCTCTGCTATGTTTGGTATTTTTGTTTAGTTGAATCTTGTGCATAGCTCGTTCTCTCCTTCGATTAAATATTTCATTTAAATCTTGCACAATGCTTTTCTCGTCTCTGTTTGGTTTCCAAGTTAATATCTACCTTATTGTTTGTTTCAACTTAAATTTGTTTCCCATATTTGAATCTAGTCCTCTGTTCTTTTCCTTAACCCTTTAACTCCCATGAGTGACCAAGACAGAATTTCTACTTACAATATCAACACAGAATCAAGCAGAAAAGTGAGGAGAATAAAGAAGAAAACTCAATGAGAGAACTACAAGTTGATCCAATACCAAATTCTCCAAATTGAAATCATGAGTATTTTACGGCAGACAATAGGGAGAATTACTAATGAGGTCTTCGGAATTAAAGTGTTTATTCTGGCTGATTGCCACGTTCATATCCTACGAACTGTTTGAACCTTTCTGTTTGGCGTTAGTATCTCGCGCAATGTTTTCTCCTAATTTTATCTCAATAATTCGCTCACCGTTTCTCTTCTTCTCTATTTGTTAATACTTTTCTTTTAGTATATTGCGATCTGTTTGTTCTCTTCTCCATTTAACTTTTAGATTAATATGTAGCGCCCTGTTCCCAACAAGGTTTGATTTTTTCGGTAATTCTCAAACATTTTTCTCTTCTCTGTCTGATTTTTATATTACTGTTTCCTCTTTTCTCTTTGATTGTTTCTTCAGTATCTCGGATCTTTTTGTTCCATTTTCTATTAGTTTGTTATGTTCTCATTTCCTGCACCTGTGAACAGTCTTAATCACTCTTTAATGATCACGTGTGCGTGCAGCGGGAGAATTGAAAACAGAATTATAATGATTTAAATCAAGGATTAACTTTGAGTTCTGAAGAAACTTTGCCACATTCTCACATTTTCATACATTAAGCTAATTTCCTGCGTTCAGTTTTCCCATCCTAATTTATTGTAGATCCCTATTGTTAGTATACTTAATAGATCAAACGACTTAGTTGCAGGTTTCATAATCACCATCATCACAAAAGCACGCAAAATCTACTACTTGACTGAAAAAAATTAAAAATGTCTTCGCAAAGTAATACCAGTGTCCATTGAACGACGATGTTTAGGAAGAAGAATCTTTGTGTAGGATCAGTAGTCACTCTGTTTCTTCTCCGCCTCGTTGTTGTCCTCCTCGAGTCCTTCTTTCCTGAAAAAAACATCATACATTTGTCACTATTTCAGCTTTAAAGTAAACGGAACAGATTTCCAATCAAATAAATTATTTTCTTCTTCAATTCCATTGGCTATGATTGTCCAAATTTGTCGAACATACCATGCTTGATACGAAAGTGACCTTAAGATTGTCAATTTATTGTTGTTTTTGTTGATTTTTCACAAATAAAGTTAACTTTTCAGCTTCTCAAGTTACGTTCATCGTCATAACGTGTATGTAGTATCGCATCGACTTTGACTAATTATTTCCTTTTCCATTGCATACAAAAGAAACGCTAATTTAAAGCCAATTTTGGAAAGCCTTTTGTGAAGAAATCCTGGCTCCGAACGCTAGATAAAATCAAGTTCTTTTTCCTGGCATTTTATGGATGAGAGACAAAGACAAAAACAAACAAAAAAATTACGACAACTGAGTGAAGTGAATAAGTTAAGTGTGCTTATCGGTTTATCGTAGAAAATTGCTCATTCTAATCAGACTTACCCTTTTTTCATAAAATCAAATGTCACGTTATCCCCCATCAACACAAACGGAGCCCATTGGGAAGGTTTGGAAAATCCATTACTTCTCAACCATTGAACGGCCTGGTAAAGAGATTCACTGGCACTTTCTCCACGCACAAGGTGTCTATAGAAATGTTTCATGAGCTTCGCCGTTGCTTTGTCTTCTATAGCCCACGATGCTACCAACACTGAACGTGCACCAGATGCTAAGAATGCTCGAGCGATTCCAATAACTCCTTCTTTTTTAATCAATCCACGCCCACTGTGACAACAGCTGAGTACAACCAGTTTAGCTCGCACTTGAACTCCTTCAATGTCGGACATTGTCAGGAGGTAGTCTTCCTCTTGTGGAGTACTGTTAATAGTACATTGAGGAGAGAGGGCAATCTCTCCTCTTTCAGGATTTCCATGTGCAGCAAGATGTATCAGACTGACTGAAGGTATTGCTTGAAGAACCGCCTGCCTTGTTGCGCGACTTCCCAATAAAGGCTGAACACCCAGCAGTTGACCAACCATCTCTGCTTCCTTACTTGCACAGAACAATGGTATAACGTCAATAAGACGTCCATTATATTGCACTTTGCCAACCGTAGGATCACCCACGACCAGTCCGCCAGTTTGACTGTGATAGTCTGCTGGACATTCTTGAATGAGCCGGAGAGTTGTCAGTGAAGGGACGATGCGTATTCTGTACTTCTCCGATAAATACTTTCCGGCTTGTTCATCACGCAAGGCAGCAAATGGGACTCGGTACGAAAATCGATCCGGTACAATGATGATTTCGGGCTCTGTGAGTAAATCTTCCACAGGTGCGACGATCCATTCGTAGCACAAATGATGACTTCTTCCGGTATCTTTGGTTTCGTCACCTCGCAAATTTGCTTGGCTCTCATCATGAAGAGATGTCGTCACGTTGTCATTCAGCGATCGGTCTTCGCAGTTCGCCACGGGTAAAACGCCAAAGCATTTGGCGCTCTTTCTGAAAACTCCCTCTACTTCGCAAACTTGCTCAGCAATAAGAGTGTCTATTTTCACTTTGTCTGTTCTTCGAAAGAAAATGTCTCCATTTACTTTCAATACCCAGAGAAGAACTTGCCGAGCTTCATACGAAATGTACAAAAAAACACAGTTACTTTCTCTTCTCGCGATGTTTTCAATCCCTAACCACGATCGTGGATCAGCTGAGATGTGGCTTTCAGCGGAGTACTTGTCTGCCATGAGTTCTGAGAGGACTCTTGCTCGTCCCAGCTCCTCAACATAGAGAGCATCTCGAAAGTTTCCAGTACGGCAAAGTAGGTGAGTGAGTAACTTGTAGGGAAAAGTGCCGTGTTCCTCTAACAGAAAAATTTTAAATCCACTGTTTCCTTTCTGGAGAGTTCTAATTTGTTCATATTTTTCAATACCTTGGAGAATATATTTCATTGCCTCCGCAGCCTCGAACTGCGATATCTTTAACACTGAAATGAGGAGAAGACTTTTAAACTCAACCATTTTGTCTCCAATTTCGCTGCTTATGGAACGAGCTTTCTGTAAATAATATGCTGCCTTATCATATTCACCAAACGATTGGGATAGACTTCCAACGTATAGGTATAGTTGTACTTCACACCTTCTATTGCCACATTCTCTGCTGATTGTAAGCGCCTTCTCACAAAGTTCTTTTGCCTTCTGACTGTCATTCACAGAATCATAGACTCTTGCCAAATTTACAATAGCCATTGCTTCCAGTTCTCTGTCACCAATTGCAATACCGACGCCGACTGCTTTTTCCAAATGTTCTTTAGCCTGCAGATTTTTATTAAGACTGCGGTACACCATTCCAAGTTCTAAGCATGCTATACCTTCTTTTTTTCTGTCGCTAATTTCTATAGCGATGGCAAGTGCTTTCTCGTAATATTCTTTAGCATTCTGATATTCGCCAAGGAAATGAAACACATTTCCGAGGTTCACGTATCTTGTTCCTTCTCCTTTTCTGTCGCCAATTTCTATCGCGATGGCAAGTGCTTTCTCGTGATTTTCTTTAGCACTCTGATATTCGCCAAGGGAATGAAACACACTTCCGAGGTTCCCGTATGTTGTTCCTTCTCCTTTTCTGTCGCCAATTGCTAGCGCGATGGCAAGTACTTTCTCGATATATTCTTTAGCATTCTGATATTCGCCAAGGGAATGAAACACATTTCCCAGGTTCCCGTATCTTGTTCCTTCTCCTTCTCTGTCGTCAATTTCTATCGCGATGGCAAGTGCTTTCTCGTGATATTCTTTAGCACTCTGATATTCGCCAAGGGAATGAAACACAGTTCCGAGGTTCCCGTATGTTGTTCCTTCTACTTCTCTGTCGCCAATTTCTATTGCGATGGCAAGTGCTTTCTCGTGATACTCTTTAGCATTCTGATATTCGCCAAGGGAATGAAACACATTTCCGAGGTTCCCGTATCTTCTTCCTTCTCCTTCTCTGTCGCTAATTTCTATCGCGATGGCAAGTGCTTTCTCGTGATATTCTTTAGCATTCTGATATTCGCCAAGGAAATGAAACACAGTTCCGAGGTTCCCGTATGTTGTTCCTTCTCCTTTTCTGTCGTCAATTTCTATCGCGATGGCAAGTGCTTTCTCGTGATACTCTTTAGCATTCTGATATTCGCCAAGGGAATGAAACACACTTCCGAGGTTCCCGTATGTTGTTCCTTCTGCTTCTCTGTTGCCAATTTCTATCGCGATGGCAAGTGCTTTCTCGTGATACTCTTTAGCATTCTGGTATTCGCCAAGGGAATCAAACACAGTTCCGAGGTTCCCGTATGTTGTTTCTTCTACTTCTCTGTCGCCAATTTCTATCGCGATGGCAAGTGCTTTCTCGTGATTTTCTTTAGCATTCTGATATTCGCCAAGGGAATGAAACACTTTTCCGAGGTTCCCGTATGTTGTTCCTTCTCCTTTTCTGTCGCCAATTGCTAGCGCGATGGCAAGTGCTTTCTCGATATATTCTTTAGCATTCTGATATTCGCCAAGGGAATGAAACACATTTCCCAGGTTCCCGTATGTTGTTCCTTCTCCTTCTCTGTCGTCAATTTCTATCGCGATGGCAAGTGCTTTCTCGTGATATTCTTTAGCACTCTGATATTCGCCAAGGGAATGAAACACAGTTCCGAGGTTCCCGTATGTTGTTCCTTCTACTTCTCTGTCGCCAATTTCTATTGCGATGGCAAGTGCTTTCTCGTGATACTCTTTAGCATTCTGATATTCGCCAAGGGAATGAAACACATTTCCGAGGTTCCCGTATCTTCTTCCTTCTCCTTCTCTGTCGCTAATTTCTATCGCGATGGCAAGTGCTTTCTCGTGATATTCTTTAGCATTCTGATATTCGCCAAGGAAATGAAACACAGTTCCGAGGTTCCCGTATGTTGTTCCTTCTCCTTTTCTGTCGTCAATTTCTATCGCGATGGCAAGTGCTTTCTCGAGATATTCTTTAGCACTCTGATATTCGCCAAGGGAATGAAACACAGTTCCGAGGTTCCCGTATGTTGTTCCTTCTCCTTTTCTGTCGCCAATCGCCATCGCGATGGCAAGTGCTTTCTCGTGATATTCTTTAGCATTATGATATTCGCCAAGGGAATGAAACACTTTTCCGAGGTTCCCGTATGTTGTTCCTTCTACTTTTCTGTGGCCAATTTCTATCGCGATGGCAAGTGCTTTCTCGTGATATTCTTTAGCATTCTGATATTTGCCAAGGGAATGAAACACATTTCCGAGGTTCCCGTATCTTGTTCCTTCTCCTCCTCTGTCGTCAATTTCTATCGCGATGGCAAGTGCTTTCTCGTGATACTCTTTAGCATTCTGATATTCGCCAAGGGAATGAAACACACTTCCGAGGTTCCCGTATGTTGTTCCTTCTGCTTCTCTGTTGCCAATTTCTATCGCGATGGCAAGTGCTTTCTCGTGATACTCTTTAGCATTCTGGTATTCGCCAAGGGAATCAAACACAGTTCCGAGGTTCCCGTATGTTGTTTCTTCTACTTCTCTGTCGCCAATTTCTATCGCGATGGCAAGTGCTTTCTCGTGATTTTCTTTAGCATTCTGATATTCGCCAAGGGAATGAAACACTTTTCCGAGGTTCCCGTATGTTGTTCCTTCTCCTTTTCTGTCGCCAATTGCTAGCGCGATGGCAAGTGCTTTCTCGATATATTCTTTAGCATTCTGATATTCGCCAAGGGAATGAAACACATTTCCCAGGTTCCCGTATCTTGTTCCTTCTCCTTCTCTGTCGTCAATTTCTATCGCGATGGCAAGTGCTTTCTCGTGATATTCTTTAGCACTCTGATATTCGCCAAGGGAATGAAACACAGTTCCGAGGTTCCCGTATGTTGTTCCTTCTACTTCTCTGTCGCCAATTTCTATTGCGATGGCAAGTGCTTTCTCGTGATACTCTTTAGCATTCTGATATTCGCCAAGGGAATGAAACACATTTCCGAGGTTCCCGTATCTTCTTCCTTCTCCTTCTCTGTCGCTAATTTCTATCGCGATGGCAAGTGCTTTCTCGTGATATTCTTTAGCATTCTGATATTCGCCAAGGAAATGAAACACAGTTCCGAGGTTCCCGTATGTTGTTCCTTCTCCTTTTCTGTCGTCAATTTCTATCGCGATGGCAAGTGCTTTCTCGAGATATTCTTTAGCACTCTGATATTCGCCAAGGGAATGAAACACAGTTCCGAGGTTCCCGTATGTTGTTCCTTCTCCTTTTCTGTCGCCAATCGCCATCGCGATGGCAAGTGCTTTCTCGTGATATTCTTTAGCATTATGATATTCGCCAAGGGAATGAAACACTTTTCCGAGGTTCCCGTATGTTGTTCCTTCTACTTTTCTGTGGCCAATTTCTATCGCGATGGCAAGTGCTTTCTCGTGATATTCTTTAGCATTCTGATATTTGCCAAGGGAATGAAACACATTTCCGAGGTTCCCGTATCTTGTTCCTTCTCCTCCTCTGTCGTCAATTTCTATCGCGATGGCAAGTGCTTTCTCGTGATACTCTTTAGCATTCTGATATTCGCCAAGGGAATGAAACACACTTCCGAGGTTCCCGTATGTTGTTCCTTCTGCTTCTCTGTTGCCAATTTCTATCGCGATGGCAAGTGCTTTCTCGTGATACTCTTTAGCATTCTGGTATTCGCCAAGGGAATCAAACACAGTTCCGAGGTTCCCGTATGTTGTTTCTTCTACTTCTCTGTCGCCAATTTCTATCGCGATGGCAAGTGCTTTCTCGTGATTTTCTTTAGCATTCTGATATTCGCCAAGGGAATGAAACACTTTTCCGAGGTTCCCGTATGTTGTTCCTTCTCCTTTTCTGTGGCCAATTTCTATCACGATGGCAAGTGCTTTCTCGTGATATTCCTTAGCATTCTGATATTCGCCAAGGGAATGAAACACAGTTCCGAGGTTCCCGTATGTTGTTCCTTCTCCTTTTCTGTCGTCAATTTCTATCGCGATGGCAAGTGCTCTCTCGAGATATTCTTTAGCATTCTGATGTTCGCCAAGGGAATGAAACACAGTTCCGAGGTTCCCGTATCTTGTTCCTTCTCCTTCTCTGTCGTCAATTTCTATCGCGATGGCAAGTGCTTTCTCGTGATACTCTTTAGCATTCTGATATTCGCCAAGGGAATGAAACATAGTTCCGAGGTTCCCGTATGTTGTTCCTTCTACTTTTCTGTCGCCAATTTCTATCGCGATGGCAAGTGCTTTCTTGTGATTTTCTTTAGCATTCTGATATTCGCCAAGGGAATGAAACACAGTTCCGAGGTTCCCGTATGTTGTTCCTTCTACTTTTCTGTCGCCAATTTCTATCGCGATGGCAAGTGCTTTCTCGTGATATTCTTTAGCATTCTGATATTCGCCGAGGGAATGAAACACATTTCCGAGGTTCCCGTATCTTGTTCCTTCTCCTCCTCTGTCGTCAATTTCTATCGCGATGGCAAGTGCTTTCTCGTGATATTCTTTAGCATTCTGATATTCGCCAAGGGAATGAAACACAGTTCCGAGGTTCCCGTATGTTGTTCCTACTACTTTTCTGTCTCCAATTTCTATCGCGATGGCAAGTGCTTTCTCGTGATACTCTTTAGCATTTTGATATTCGCCAAGGGAATGAAACACATTTCCGAGGATCCCGTATCTTCTTCCTTCTCCTTTTCTGTCGCTAATTTCTATCGTGATGGCAAGTGCTTTCTCGTGATATTCTTTAGCATTCTGATATTCGCCAAGGGAATGAAACACATTTCCGAGGTTCCCGTATGTTTTTCCTTCTGCTTCTCTGTCGCCAATTTCTATCGCGATGGCAAGTGCTTTCTCGTGATATTCTTTAGCATTCTGATATTCTCCAAGGCTAGCACAGACATTTCCGAGTTTTCCATGAGTCAGTGCTTCTTTTATTTTGTGACCAATTGTTTTCATGATAGTGAGTGCGCCTTTAAAGAGTTGCTTTGCCTCTACAAACCGGCTTTGTGCTTTATATATGTCTCCCACTTCCATGATTAGTGTCCAAGCATGGTTAAATTTGTCAAGAAGTTTGGTGGCATGTCTTTCTGCATCTGTGTAACCAGAGATGGCGTAGTACGCATTGAATAGTACATCGGAGATTTCAAGGTGACTACCAGAGTCAAGGTTGTGAAGTAGGATCACACATTCATTACATAACTCAGTCGCTCGTAGGCCACGATCAGTGTTCAGAAGAAATATGACGACATTTAAACCTATCTGGACTGAGTTTAGGATTTTTGCAGCGTCACTCATAACGGCTCTCTCCTATTTGTTGTCGTAAGAAAGAATCAGCAAAAAAAGGAAGCTTAAAAAAAGTAATACTGATAAATGTTCGAGTTTTTAAACATGACGAGGGAATTTTCCAAAAAGTTCGTAAGTGAAACACTGCTGCCCTTCAAAAACCAGGGACTAACTAAGCTCTGATTTCCGTTGTTATATGTTTCAAAATCGAGGCAAATCAATATGTCTTGATCGATCTGGAGATATCCATCTACGTGACGCACAGGCGGCCCCGAGCTCCAGCTGTGAGATGATCATCTTGCGCAATAACGCAATAATAATAATAATATTTAATATTTACGACCGGAATATAAATTACGAAATATAAAATACGTTAAATTCTCAATAAAAATACGTCACTTTACTTCCACAGTGTATCACTTGTTATCTTTACTTTGATGAAAAGAACCCATTTTAGTGAGTTTAGGTACAAAAACCTCGAAATGGAAAACTCGCGAAAATGGGTTCTTTTCATCAAAGAAAGTGGTCAGATAACAAGCAATACGCTGTGGAAGTAAGGTGAGGTATTTTTATTGAGTTTGACGTATTTTTTCATTCCTTAGAGCGGTGGTAAATATTCCCATACAAACTCTTATAATTTCGCCACGACCGTTATTGCGCAAGATTATCATCTCACAGCTGGAGCTTGGGCCGCCTGTGCATGACGTGGATCTAGTTTCGTTGCGTGGTGAAAAAAATTTGATGGACATAAATCCAACAAAAAAAAAATCACATTCTACAATTAAACGAAGTACAAAACTGTTCAGTTGAGCCCAGATGAAGATATTTGTGCAAGATTCGTGTTGGTATTTCCAACCGTTTGTCCCACAGAGATCAAGCCGACATGTCAGTCTTAGGAACTCGCTTAATTAATTTGAGATGAAGAAATTAGAACATGTAAGCGTTGCCAATGGTTAACTGCCCATCAATTATTTTGAAAAAACTATTTTTTGATTTAATACCGCATAAATTTGGGAAAAGAGCAAAAATTCTACCCAACGTTTCAACTGTTTACAAAATGCTTTGTTATTTAGGCGAAGGAAAAAATTACAAACGCGTTACTTCAGTAACTGATATACCAACTTCTCCAAATTTTTTGTTTCGTTAAATAATAAAGTCAATTTCATTCATGAAAAATGAAACTAAGGTAGCAATACAAATGCAGAAATTAAAGAAAACGAACAGCTCACCTTTTGGAAACAGAACATGCCTTTTACATTGGTGCCTGATTGCGTGACTAATGAAAACAAAATTAAGAAAATGAAATGAAATGAGACTTTCCAAGACAAACAAACGTAAATGCAAATAACTGGTATAATAACATTTTACTCGCATGGTTGGTGAGAAGAAATCATCAGAATAAGAAAAAAAAACCTAAGATGGAAGAGAGATTGTTTCCTAAGTTGCCCATAAGATTCATTAAATAACATACAAGATTTTAGTTTCAATCATCACAGAAGTGATGAACTTGTTGTTTCTCCTTACAATATCAATATACCATATAGCAATGCTGAGAGTAAACAGATTCATCATTCAGAGGGTGTTATCTCTATGAGTAGCAAGTTTCCATCCAAAACATGTTAACTCATAATGTTTATGAAATAAATTTTTGGCGACTCACCTTCAGTGAAATCTAAAAGATCTTCGATTAGTTAGGAGATCAAAATCACAAAACTGATATAAACTTTCTCTGCAAAGCAATGAAGAATGCGAAGAGCTACTGTAAGATTAAATAGGAAAATTATCGGTTAAAAGTGATCATTATAAACCTAATAAGGATGGAACTTGAATTACAGCTTGCCCATAAGATATCTCAGTAAATATTGGAGCTCACATATCATTGATAAGAGTTTGGTGGATTTAATTTTTCTTTGCTCGATTTGTAAAGCCATCAAGTTACAGAAGTGAGGAACATGTTGCTTCTCTTTCCACAATCAACATATTATTCAGTGAACAAGCGACGAGAATTCTTATCAGCTGAGGGTTTTTCTTTATACAACATTAAATTCTCCCTACTGACAAGCAAGGTAATGTGAGGGAGCTTGAAGGAAGAATTCCTGATGAAATCATAAATTTAAAAGGTAAAGATGATGCAGACCTTTAATATTTTGCTATCCAAATCAAAAATTGATTCCAATTTGGAAGCTCTCCACAAATATTTGTTTGGAATAACAACTTTTTCTTATCATTGATTTTGCTATATTTAAACCAGAAATATATTTTTTCGAATCAGGAAAAGAATAACTATTACTGTAAATTTAGTTTTTTCGCTGGTAACCCTTTCAAAAATAAACACGCTTTGTTTGGGTGATGAGACCAAAAGTGGCGAGAAACAAAGATAAATGCAAGCAGCTCGTGTGAGAACAAGGTTTCTGAGTTTGATCGGTCTAAGACAAGAAACTATAAACTGCAGTTGATAATCTCTTGGTGTAACAGATATCAATATGACTTTCTATTTCGCCCATAGCGTCATTGTAAAAACTTTGAAGCGCTTTTCTTTCCACATCAAAAATCTCTGTCCTTAAATTCAATTTCTGTTACGCCTGATTTGAGCAGGCACCGAAAACATTTTTTAAACAGAAAAAAAAGAGAGAGAGATGGGACTGTAAGCAGATATTTTCTTTATTTTTGCTGCTTATTCTTGAAAAAGGAGTTTTATTTTGTTTCGTGTTCTGATCGAATGACTGCGGCAGCCGAGGGTAAAAAACTGAAATAACGCTTTCCTTGCAAAACAGAGATGAATGACAATCTGACAAGAATGAAAAAAATGCAACAGCCTCATCGGTGAAACAAAGAATCGTTTAGAAAACCTAAAACAGAACTACTTCACTTCCTGACTTCCACGCAATTTAAATGAAAAACATGACATCCTCATGTTCCTTTTTTTTTAAGATTTCAGATTTAAAAATCTGATTTTCGGTTCATTCATCGCGTATCTGCTTTTACCCTTTCACTCCCAGACTATGACACCAAGGAATTGTTTAACGTGCAGTTTCCCCCCTACAATATCAATATATTCTTCAGCCAACAGTTTTGGAGAATAAAGAAACTTATCAGCTGGACAGTGTCAAATTGACACAACACTTCATTCTCTAAAAATATTTACAGAGATATTTGTTACATTTGCAAAGGAGACTTAGTAAGATCAAGGAAGTTAAAGGCCTAAAATTGAGTTCATCATTTTATTTTGCAGACTGTGCTCAGTTGAAGTCAAGTTTTAAGCAACAAATCTTTGCCAAAATCTAAGACTATTTCGAGGTTAAATCCTGTGGCTTTGAATGTCCAGTGCAAAACATTTCAGTTTTGTAAGGCGGGAAATATTGTTTCTAAATTTATTTTTTTACTACTAACCTTTTACACAAGAAGCTTGTCTTGTTTGATATTCTAGTCGTATGACTGGTGAAACCAAAAGCAAGAAACCGAAATAAGACTTCCCCTGCAAAACAAAGATAAATGCGAATAGCTATTGTAAGAAAAACGTGAAACCTTCTGTAAAATAGAAGTAAAATGAGTGAATAAAAAATTGATGAACCGAAGAGGGAAAACGGTTACCAAGTATAAAGATTGAGCTCGATTTGTACAGAACAAAAAAAAACCGTTCAGGAACCTGAAAATCAATCGTTCATCATCGTTTCCATAACTTAAGCACACACGGCTGAATTATCAAATACACTGGATTTCCCTGCCTCGAATTAGTTTGAAATTTAGCAATGCTGTGCGATTTGTACATAATCTGCGTTACGACTGACACTAAAAAACTGTTAAGCTACTTATGAAGGCCAAGGAAACCACATTAGACGAGTCGGTCTAAACGGAGATTTCATGAGAAGACGCACACTTCATTCTCTAAAAAATATTTATGGAGGTATTTGTTAGATTTGCAATGGAATTTTATTAAGATCATGAAAGTTAAAGGCCTAAAATTGAGTTCATTATTTTATTTTGCAGACTATGTTCAGTTTAAGTCAAGTTTTAAGTAACAAATCTTTGCCAAAATCTAAGACTATTTGGAGGTTAAATCCTCTGGCTTTGAATGTCCAGTGCAAAACATTTCAGTTTTGTAAAGCGGGAAAGATTGTTCCTAAATTTATTTTTTTACTACTAACCTTTTACACAAGAAGCTTGTATTGTTTGATATTCTAGTCGTATGACTGGTGAAACCAAAAGCAAGAAACCAAAATAAGACTTCCCCTGCAAAACAAAGATAAATGCGAATAGCTACAGTAAGAAAGACGTGAAACCTTCTGTAAAATACAAGTAAAATGGGTGAAAAAAATTGATGAACCGAAGAGAGAAAAAAGGTTACCAAGTATGAAGAAAATCAGTCGCTCATCATCCTCTCCATAAATTAAGCACACAGGGTTGAATTATCAAACAGACTAGATTTCCCGCCTCCAATTAATTTGAACATTAGCAATACTGTGTGATTTGTGTATACTCTGCGGTTTAACTGACACTGAAAAACGTTAAGCTGCTCATGAAGGACAAGGAAACAACATTGGAAGAGCCGGTCCAAACGGAAATTTTATGAGAAGACGCAACACTTCATTCTCTAAAAATATTTTCTGAGATATTTGTTACATTTGCAAAGGGGACTTAGTGAGATCATGAAAGTTAAAGCCCTAAAATTGAGTTCATCATTTTATTTTGCAGACTAAGTTCAGTTTAAGTCAAGTTTTAAGCAACAAATCTTTGCCAAGATCTAAGACTATTTGGAGGTTAAATCCTCTGGCTTTGAATGTCCAGTGCAAAACATTTCAGTTTTGTAAGGCGGGAAAGATTGTTTTTAAATTTTTTTTTATCACTTACCTTTTACACAAGAAGCTTGTCTTATTGATATTCTAGTCGTATGACTGATGAAACCAAAAGCAAGAAACCGAAATACGACTTCTCCTGCAAAACAAAGATAAATGCGAAAAGCTATTGTAAAGATAAAATAGAATTATAGAATTATAGAATAGAATATAGAACGG